CCGCGGCCGCGCCGACGAGGAAGAACGCCGCGCGGTCCGCGGCCGCCGGCGCGGCCGCGGGCGGCGCCCAGGCCGCCTCCTCGGGCGTCGGGGGCTCCTCGACCTCGGGCTCGGGCGCCGGCGGCGCGGGCCGCGCGGGCCGCCAAGGGCGCGACGGCGGCGACGGCGGCGCGGGGCGCGACGGCGGCGCGGGCGGCCGCGGCCGCGGCGGAGCCGCGCGCGGAGCGGCGTCCGCGGCCGCCGCCGTCGACCGCGGCAGCATGTCCGCGAAGGGCGACCGCCGGAGCGTCGCCTCGACGTCGGCCCAGTTGCGCACGTAGGCCGCGGGTCCCCGGTCGTGGATCTTCACGGACGCGTGCGTCGCGTCGCGCCTGCGCCAGGGGAGCGCGTCGGCTTCGCGCGCGCCACAAAATACACGCGACCCGGGCGCCGCGTTCTCGAACGAGCACACTCCGTCCGGAAAACGAACGCTCGGATTTCCGCGCGGCGGGCTGGGACGACCGCTTCGCGTCGAGGTCGCAGTCGCCGGAGACGCCGTCGAGCAGGAAGTCGCGGAGCCGCGCGAAGCCCGCCTCCGGCGCCGCGTCGAGGTCCTCGTAGGTCAGCAGGAGGCTCGGCACGCCCAGGAGCGTCGCGCGCTCGTGGAGGTCCGCGATGAGCGCCATCTTGCGCCGCTCGACCTGGCGCGCGCGGCGCGTCGAATACAGGCGCGCGCGGGGACGCCGACCGGCGCGCCTTGAGCACGTTGAGCAGCTCCTTGCCCGTCGGCAGGTCGAGCGTCGCGTTCGTCGCGTCGCCGCTCTCCGCGCGCGTCCGCGGGTGCGGCGCGGCGGCGCCGTGGAGCTTGGAGATCGTGAGGTCGAGCACGTTGTCGCCTGCGCCGGAAACAACCGGTGGAACGGACCCGTCCAGCTCAAACCTCTCTAGCTCGGTCAAGTCGTTTTGGCTGATTTTTGGACGGATCGATTGCTCTCGTCGAGTTCACGAAGCATAGCCGACGAGTCCGGTTCAATTACGCGCACATTGAAGTCGGGTTGAAGATGTGAGTTCCACACGAGTTGTCGCGTTTGAGGAACACGAGGCGCACGCGCTTCGACAGCGCGAGCGTCGCGAACCTGCGCGGGCGACGCTCGGGACGCCTCGCCGCGCCGGCGCCGCCGACGCGCCAGGCCTCGAAGGCCTCGCCGAACTGCTGGCTGAGCATCCACTTGAAGCCGACGGCTTTCGGCCGCGCGTCGCGCGCGGTCTCGGCGGCCCAGGCCGCGAACTTGCGGCTCCCGTCGCGCGGGCCGTAGTCGAGGCGCGCGTCGAAGAGGCGCACGAGCGCGCGCCGCTTCGAGTTCGACGTCCAGGAGAAGTCGTCGCCGCCGGACCGCCGCGAGTTGACCTGGCGCGGCGCCTCGAGCCGCGCGGGTGCGCCACGCGGCGGGCGGGGTGGCGGGCGGGGCGGGTGGGGCGGGGCGGTCCGAAACGGTTCGGAAAAGGCCGGTCCGAAAGGCGGGGGGTCCACTCACGAAGAACTCGCCGCCCGCGACGACCTGGGCAGGAAAAGGGTGATTCAATATCGCTTCAACGTGACTGTTCCGCGCGCACGCGTTCCACAACAAGCATCCACGCTTCGAGACCGTTCCGAGAGATGATCGCTCGTCCAAAAATCAGCCGAAACGAGTGGAAAACGACCGAGATAGGAGCCTTTTGCATCCTTTTCCCGCCCTGGCTCCGACGCACTTGCGGTTGCCGAGCTCGAGCATGACCCAGTGCGCGCCTACCGGACGCGACGGTCTCGCTCTCCGGACACCGTTCTCTCGCACGCACCCGTGCGCTGCGTCGACACGAGGACGTAGGGCGCGCGGCTCGCGTTCGCCGCGTCGCCCGCGTAGAGGGTCGCGTCGTCGTCGAGCGTCGGGTCGAAGGCGTCCTCGGCCGGCTCGTCGCGGCCGCGGTCGGCCTTGGACGGCAGCACGCAGGCGACGTCGGCGGGCGTCGCGCAGCGCACGCGGAGCCGCAGGAGCGTGCTCCGGCAGCACTTCTCCGGCGCGAGGTCGTCGGTGAAGTTGCCCGCGCGGCCGCAGCCCCGGCCGCCGCAGACGCCGCAGGCTGCGTCGCAGCAGACGCCGCGGTACTGCGTCCCGGCGGCGCAGAGGCCCGCGTCCGGGTTCGGCCGCAGCAGGTCCGCCTCGTCGGACAGGTTCGCCGCCGACGGATAGTTGGCGAAGAGCTCGAGCACCTCGGCCTGCGTCGCCTCCGGCGCGACGTCTTCCACGACCGGCGCGGCCCTGTCGCGCTTCGTGCGGTGGCTCCAGAGCGCCGCGGAGGCGCCGGGCAGGAGCCACGCAATTTTTAAAAGGCAGCCCATCGTCTCGATTACCCCGGCGTTGAGGTTGTAAATTTGCCTCGTTGAGGAGGCTCCCTCGGGCCGAGCGGGAGAGCGGGCAGCACGTGCCTCTGTTTTGGGGCAGCCCTTTGACACTCCATTCTGCGAGCGGCGGTTCGCAAACCCGGCTGCCGCAGTTCCCCGCCGCGTCATGCTCCTCCTCGTCGCCTTGGCGGCCTGCGCGTCGGCGGCGACAACGGTGACGACCTTCGAGGCCCTCGAGGACGCCATCGAAAACGGCGCGGCCATCGACATCGCCGCGGACCTCGACTTCCCGGACGAGATCAAGATCCCCACGGGCGTCACCGTCACGATCGAGTCGAGCACGCGCGCGACGCTCACGGCCGTCGGGGACAACTTCGCGCGGGCCCGCGTCCCGCGACGGGCGTGCTTTTTTTTCGCGCGCCGCGACGAACTCCGACGCCGTCGCCCCCGGTAGGCCCAGGCCCTGTTCCGCGTCGACGGCGACCTGAGCCTGACGAACCTCGTGCTCACGAACGGCTCCGTCACGTGGAACTGGTGCAACTACCAGACCAACGGCGGCGAGTCGTGCGGCGGCGGCGCGGTTCACGTGGACCGCTTCGCGCATCTGAGCATGGACGACTGCGAGATCCACAACTCATCGGCGCGCTACGGCGGCGCCATCTACTCCTACGCGGGCACCATCGACATCACGAATTCCAAGTTCTACAACAACTACGCGTACGAGGCCGGCGGCGCGATCTTCACCTACGAGCACTCGGATTTGACCGTGAGCGGCTCGACCTTCGCGAACAACGCCGCCATCAAGGCCGGCGGCGTCTTCGCCGGCGGCGACGCGAGCGTGTCGACGACGTCCTTCGTCGGCAACCGCGCGACGGCGTCGGTCCCGTCCGACGACGACCACGCGGGCGGCTTCTGGGGCGGCGAGGGCGGCGCCTACTGGGTCCACGAGGGCACGACGGCCTTCTCCGGCTGCGCCTTCACCTCGAACTACGCGCGGACCGACGGCGCGGCGATCCACGTCCACCCGGGCACCGGCGGCGTCACCGTCGCGGCGACGACGTTCGACGGCAACGACGCCGTCGAGGCCGGCGACGACGTCCACTACGAGTCGAGCTCGAGCATGCCGACGCTCGACTGCGCGTCGTCGTGCCCCGAGGCCGCGGGGACCTGCGCCGCCGTGGAGTGCAGCGGCCCCCAGGGCGACTGCGACTGCTACTCGTGCGCCTGCGACTACCCCGCGCTCCCGACGCCGCAGCCCACGGGGCCCTCGGCCGCGCCGACGGCCGAGCCGAGCCGGGCGCCGACGACCGTCGCGCCGTCGCCCTGGGCCGACCTCTGGCTCGACGACGACGGCGCCGGAGGCGACTCGATGGACTCGACGTCCGCGACGGCGTCCATCAAGGGCACGGCCGGCCTCGCCGTCGCCGCGCTCCTCCTCCTCCCGTGGTAGGA